TCTCTTTTATTATGTTTAGTATTAAAAGCTCTGAATTAAATTTATATTCTAAAATATCCATTTCAAAATTTGAGTTCATATGTTTTATCATTTTCATTTTTTCTTTAAGATTAAAAAAATTAGTTGTATAAAGTTTTCCAAATAATTGGATTGCTTCAAAATTTCCACCTGTTAAATACATTTCTTTGGTTTCTCTAATTGAACCTGTAATTTTTCGAATATAAAACTAAGTTTATAATGAAAAGTTAATAAATTTTCAATTTTAATCTTAATAAATATAAAATATTTACCTTATCATTTATTTTGACTAAATGAACATTTTCTTTAATTTTTTTAATTTCTATAATATTAAATATTATGTCATAACCAATAATAACATCTATTTTGTCGTTATTTCTTTGAATAATTTCTAAACTGGTTATATCATTTAATATTTTATTTTTATTGATTATGAAATAGTTTGAATAAAGTGATTTACCTGAATAAACTGTGCTAATATATTTCTCCCAATTGGGATATATACTTTCAATATAAAAACCATAGACTCTTCTGATAAAATATGAAATATCTAAAATAATTAAAAAATCTTCTGTTTGTTGATCTAAAACTGATTTTGATTTAATTAGAATCACTTGATTTGAGTTTGATGGGTTTGATACAAAATATTCGAAATAATATAATAATGATCTTATTATGCTGATATCATTGTAACTGTTAATAAAAATTTAATAATAATTAATATGAATTTATTTGTGTATGTGTAGTTATACATGAATAATTACTCTTTTTCAATTATGTCCTCGATTGATTTGATTTTTAATTCAGATTTAAAGAAATAATATGATGTATTAATATCTTGAACAATATAGCATGGAACAATGATTTGATCATTAAATTCTTTAAACTTATTATTATCAATTTCTTCAAATTTAACTTCATCTATTATATCTTCAGTTAAATGTTCCTTCTTTTGTTTTCGAATACAATAAATTTTCTATATATAAAAAGAAATCTTATTAATAAATTAAATAATTGAATAATTATATTATATATTGGTTTGAATACTTACTTCATTTGTATCGGTAGTTTCTAATAATAAAATCATTGTTTTATAATCAAAATATATATCATTATCTTTGTGATGGTTTAAATTTAATATTTCTAAAATATTATATTTAATAGAACCAATCGTTATTTTTGAGTAGTTGGTGAGATTATCATTATTATTATTATCATTGCTGTTGATTGATAACTTGTTTAAATAATATAAACCATCTGATGGGGAATATTCGATTTTTGAATGACCTTGGTCAACCATAACACTATAACAAAATAAAATATTTAAATATTTAAAGAAATTTAAATTTAAGAGTTGTTGACAGCTATCTTCTTGACCAAAAAAGTAAAGAGCAATATCATAAATTGAACCAACTATACTAAATGGACTTCCTCCAAAATACTGGGGGTAAAAAAAATTAAAATAATTATTAAAAAAGAAAAAAAATTAAAAATTAAATTTATATATATAAATAATTACGTCGAAAAAATAAAATATTTCTTCACCAATAATAATCGTTTCTAAACCATCTATAAATCAAAAATAGAAGTTAGTATTGTTTTAACTTATCAAGTATTATAAATAGTTTTATAAATACATACATATGAATTTATAGTCTTTAATTGATTTTAATTGGATTAAATTGTTTAAATGTTTTTTGGCTAGTTTCATAAAATAATTATTCTTTTCTTCATCAGTAAACATTGATCTTTTTATTTCCCAATCTGAGTATTGATTAACGCATTCTTTTAATTTGGTTGGTAAATCGTATAGTAAAAGATCAAAGTGGGTTTTTTTTGAGGGTTTTAATAAAGGTTCAAATTGAATGTTCTCTAAAATAGGGTTTACAAGTTCAATAAAATTAATAAATTTATCAGATGCCACTCGTGAAATTGCACCAAAAACCTATTGAATAAATAAATTGTATTAATACAAAAAAGAGAATTAAAAACTGTAAAAATATTTTATACTTTACCTCTCCTTCAAGATAAACTATATATATTGGTATATGTATATTTGATTTTTTATGAAATTGTTTAACTGGGTTAATAACAAAAGTTTCAGAAATAGAAATTTTTTTTAAAATATTGTTATAGCTTGTATCTAATTTATCGTAATATTCCATTAAGTATTTGTTTTCATTTATTAATCTTTCTTTTTCATTTTCTAAAATTTGATAAATATATTTATATTGAAAATAAACTGGTGTTTCAGCTTTTTCGAAGGTAGTCTGTGGTAATAAAAAATATTTGTTATAATTTATACTATGTAATATAAAAGTCATATTAATACAATACTTACACTAAAATAGTCATAAATCTTATCAATGACTGGGTCTTTGGTTTCTATACTATACACCTTGAAGACCATGTCTATAAAGTTAGGTAGTTTCTCTGTTGGATCTGCAAATGTAGAGAGTATTGAAAACCTAACATCATTGAATGGTTCTTGATTTTCTTCATCTTTGGTAGTTTCTTTTTTGTTTGTTAAAAATACTTGAAAGCCATTTAAAAAATGAAAATATAAATACAGCATTTTGATATCTCCTTTTTCGAAAATTTGAAAAAATAATAAAATTAATTTAAATAATAATATTAATTGAATTTTCTTTGTTATGGCATTTGGATTTTGTATTGATATTTGTTTTAAAGTGTTTTCAGTTGGGTTAACTATTAAATAATAATTATTTTCATCATCAGTTGCATTGATATCATAAAGTTCAACTTTATTTGGTTCTAATGGAAAAACTTTTGAACATTCCATAAAATAAAATGAAAACATTTCTTCTGAAAACATTTGATCGAAATGTTGTTTCATAACTGAATTTTTATCAGATATAAAGCTTTTAACTGAAAATAAACTAAAATACTTTAAATATTAAATATTAGTATTAAAATAATTTAATTAATTTTAAAATATAAATTTAATGCATACTTTTCCATCAATTATGATATAATATTGATGGCTATTTAATATATCAATGCAACTAATACATTTATAATCTTTGGTAATATCAAAACCATTATTATTATTGCTATTATAATAAAAATTTAATGATTGATTATTAAAATTATAAAAACTGTTTAAATTAAATTCAATTGGACTTGTACTTGTACTTTTTTCAAAAAAATTGTATTTTTGATTTACAAAATCTAATGATTCTTTTAGGTTTCTATGAAAGAAATCCCCAGATGTTAGTCTTAAAAATTCATAGTGTTTGCAAATGAATTCTAATATTTGGGATGGTTGTGGTCTTTGGTATTCATCTTCATTGGCCATTCTTTTAAATATTTCAAAAAAAACTTTATTATAAAATTCTGAGCTAGTATTTTCATAAAGCTTTAATAAAGTAACACCTAAACTGTAAACATCTACATTGGAGGTATAATTTCCCTCAATTACTTCAGGTGCTATAAATTGATTAGTTCCTTCTTGAGTAAAACGACCATCTTGAGTTAAACCTAAAATAATTCTTGAGGATCCTAAATCACCTAAATAAAACTCATATTCCGGTTCTCCTGTAATTCTATTGGGACCAATAAGTGTTCTAAAAAATATATTTTCTGGTTTAATATCTCTATGAACAACCTTATCTTCTTTAAACTGTTCCAAAATTATTAAAATCTTAACCAATAAATAAAAAAAATTATAAAAAGAAAATCTAAAATAATGGGTAAAAAATTATTAAAATATTTTTTTTAGTAATTTATATAGAAAAATTGTAATTACCTTTTTAACTTTGATAAATCCCCATTTTCATAAAATTCAGTGATGATATTTAAATGGTAATAGTCTTTATTTGGTTTTATGGTGATAAAATCTTCAATATATTGAATAATATTTAAATGTGGGTATTTTTCTTTATTTGAATATCGTTTTAAAAATTTGAGTTCTTGGTTTACTGATTGGGTGAAATTCTTTTCTAATCCTATTTCAGAATCATTTAAAGTTTCTAAATTAAATAGTTTTATTCTTTTACAAATATATAGCTAAAAATTTATTAGTATTTTTTTTTGTTTATTTTTTATAAATTAATAATTACTTTTTTTTCTTGAATATTTTCATATAAATAAATGACTCTATCTAAATTCGATGATAGTTTCCTAACTTTATAATATTTGTTATTGTATTCTTTCATTTGGGCGGATCAATGTAAAATAAATAAAAAAAAAAAATTTTTTTACATCAACTTTTTTTTAAAAAAAAAAACAACAAAAATCATTTTTCAAAAAATAAAAAAAAATTAAAAAAAAATTATTTTATCAAAAAAAAGGGAACGGTTTTAACTTAAGGTGTTCCACCCAAGTTTTTCTTTCAAGTAATTGAAAAAATGATATTAAAATGCTTTTTTATACCCTCTATTAACTTAAAAAAAAAATCAATTTTTATAAAAGAAAATTCAATTTAAGAAATGAAAGATAAATTTATTAACATTTTTTGTTTTTCTTTTTAAAAAAAATAATTATTGAATAGATTTATATAAATAAACACTTCTATATTCATTCAAAGTTAGTTTCCTTAACTTTATAATATTTATTATTGTATTCTTTCATTTGAAATGATGGAACAAAATTAAATAATAACGAAAAAATTAAAAAAATTAAATCATCCTTTAAAAAAAAAAATTTATTTTTATTGTTATATTACATATAAATATAAATCAAACTATGGTGTTATATTTGATGAGTCATTACCAATATCATTATTTGAAATTGGGGTACCATAGGATGATGAGGAAGATTGATTTGATTGACGATCTGTTGTAGAACTTCCGATACCAATTGATGTTAATTTATTATTTTTTGAGAATGAACCTCTGGTGGAACCACCATCACTTGATTTTTGTTGATATGGATTACGTTGATCGAATGACCACAAGATGGAGATGGCTGGTATTACTTCAGTTAAAACCAAGCAAATAAAACTAAATATAATTGAATTTACATTTGCTGCTACCATAATTAAAACGAAAATACAATGTAAAATGAAACCAATACTGCATGTTAAAGTTAATGTAAAGATCTTTCTTTGGTGATGTGCTTTGTTTGATGTTGATCCTACTTTGTTTGATCTCATTGCGCTATATAAACTGCTACCTAAATATAAAAATGCTGAACCTATAACCAAAGAAATTAAAGCTTGGACCACTGCGTATACAATACTAACAACACGCTGTGGTGTTGTACTTTCAACTGGAATAACTATACGAGATCCACAATTATTAGGTTTATCTTGTTTGGTATATTGGAATACTAAAACAATGGCAATGAATAAAAGATAAAGCACGGCATTTATAACTGCGACGGTTGTGTAAATTCTTTTAGATAGAGACTCGGCTGAACGATGTTTCTTTAATACCAAGAAGAAAATAACATACCAAAGTACCACTACAATAGTAAAGGCTGTGAAATAAATGAAAGTTGGCAAAACAACCAAAATGTAATCTGCAACTGGACTATAAGCTAATGCACCAGATGGCATAATGAAAAAGTAAATGGCACGGATTAAAATAAATAGAGTTACAATAATGATTAAAAGGTGAACCAATTGGAATGCCTTTTTAGATTCGTTATAATAATTATAAATGATTAATGCAATTTCAAAGAAACCCCATAATGCAACAATAATGAAAATTACTGCTAAAGTATACATTAAACCTTTTGCTGTATCATCAAATACTTCTTTTTGTTGATCTTGATAATCTGAAATACGATTGATTGGGAAATATATTGGGTCATTTTGAGAAATATCGGTAACCATTGAGCAAATGAGTGTATTTGAAGTTTCATTATTTCTTTCAAAATAAGTTTCAACTTGTAAAGGTGTTGGGATAGTTTCATTATTTAATTGTATAGCAAAGTCAAATATTGGATATTTCGAATTTACCTTTTCACCAGTAGCAACTACAAAACAAATAACTGCTTCTCTTATACCATCTTGTGATTTAATGATAATGCCATCACTTAGTAGGGTTCCAATAACAGCACCATTATCATTGAAAATACCATAAAGATCTGTTTTCTTATAGGATACGAAATTTGATGCTAATGATTCGGGTCTTGTTGATGTGTACAACTCTTTGGATTGAGAATAAACTGTAATAGATTGACACGATGAGTCGATTGAGTTATTGGTAAATTCAATGTGACCAAAATCAAATGAAAATGTAGATTTTTCGGTGGTGCATGGTTTTGATAAACCTAATAATGGTGATGACTGCTCGAAGCATTTCGAATAATCGCTCTTGCTTGATCCACAACTGCATGTAATTGAATTTAAATTTGACTGTAGTTGTTGTAATCTGCAATAGGCTTCTGATCTAAATAAATCTGCAACTAATGTATTTGTTGACTCCATTACACTGTTATAAAACAATTCATAGTTAAATTGTGGTCCAAGTTGATTTGGTACAAATTCGGTTGGGATCCATCGAGTTGGCTTCGATACACCTGTTAACCATTTAGCATTTGACCATTGATATTTATTCGTCCATTCATTAAAAGACTGATAACAACCTTCGCACTCTTGTTGGTCCATTTCATTAAATAAATAATTGAATGGTAAGTTTGAAACTGTTGAAGACTCTAAAACCCTGCAACCCATTTGAGACTCGCATGTATCCTTATCTATAGCTGGGACCCACCATTTACCGCCATCAGCCTCACAATCACTCTTGGTAAGATGAAGTGGATATGTAAAATAACAACCATTTGGTGAATCATTTTGGTTCTTGCCATCACTATCATCACAAGTAATACCGCCTTGATATGAGCCATGTTTAAATACACATTTACCTGCACCAAATGGATAGTAAGGGTTACCATGTTTTGGATCGAAATAGAATTCATCTGAGCATACACCTGAGTTTTCACACTCTTCTTTGGTGGCACATTGGACTGGTTCAAGGTAACAAATATCCAAATTTTGAATTGGACCCATACATTCACCCTCGCCTTTATTTGAACAATCTACCCAAGTAAAAGAGGCGCCACTACATTGCTGTTGGGTGGTAAAGCTTTTAGCTACACAAGTTTTTTTTTCTTCTGTCCATTCGGTATTAGGATAACTAGCACAATCAGCTTGAGTTATATTTTTTTTAAAAATTAAACAACCAGACATAGTTGATAGGGTTGAAGTACATTGATAACCACATGGTTCTGTACAATAAGAAACATCCTCTTCGCATTGTTGGTCAGTTAAACCCACTTGGAACTCTCCATTTGGTGATAAACAAATCTTTTGGTTTTGACATGTTGTCTCTGTACCAAAGTATTGAGATGCTGAATGGCATGTGCTATTTTCGTTTGTACAATAACCACAAAATCCTCCACCAATGTCTTCACATTCCTCTAAAGTTAAAGATGTATCTCCATTACAAAAACCTGTGGCACTGCAATTTTCTACTGATGAAATTTCATCTAAATACCAGTCAACGTACATACCTTCCAAGCAAGTATCATGACGAGTAAGACAAGTTTCATCCAAACAATCTTTTATTTTATAGCAGAATGGGAGCGAAACATAAGATTTCCAAGCAAATTTTGAACGATCATAAATACTTGAAAAACCAACGCAATCTTCTTTTTGATTTTGATCATAAACTGATTGAACGACTGCATCATCAACTTTAATTGTTCCATCTAATAAAGAGAAAACTACGTTTCTTGATAAATTCTCTAAAGCACATCTTATATACTTCTTATCCAATATTTCGAAATCTGGCATACAAGTTCTTGAATATAAATTGCATTCTTTACCGCTATACTCTTGGCAATCTTGGTCAGTTGTACAATAAGGTGGTTCTAAAACACTCTTACATTGACGTAAAACAGTTGTAGATTCTAATTTGATTCTAAGAGGCTCAATGTCAGGTACGGTGCAAGCATCTATATTACTTAATGATTTGCCATAGTCTGCCAATACTGATAAGGTGCAATCGATACTTGAGCATTGTTCTTCAACTAGAGACTGGTCACCTTTACTATAAACTGTAAAATTTAATGAGGTTTCTCTTGGGTTACAACATTCGTAATATGTCATTAATGGATTACAGCATGGGTCTTGTGAATACTCTGGATCATCTCTTTTATATGGACAATAAACCAATGATATGTTTTTAGGTATAGACTCCATTTCTAACAATTGAACAGCCTTATTGCTACAACCTACCCAGCCATCACTAATTTGTAATGAGTCTAATGTGTATCTATAATTATTTAACTCGTCAAAATCTGAAATATTGAACAATACCTTTTGAGTTTCTTCAATTAATTGAAATATTTGATTAAACTCTGTTTCATTGCATTCTAAAACTTTCTCTTCAAATCCAACAATATTATTTATTGCCTAAAATTATAATATTTATATTAATATAATTAAAATTAAAATTATTACAATGTGATATAATAAGAGTTTAATACATACATTTCCATCTTTATCAAATATTGTAGATAAAAATTCTAATTTCGAGTTTAATATTGTTTCGAAATCATAAAATTTGTTTATATTTGTTTTTCCAATTGATGTTGATAATAATACTGCTGCTTGGTATGAATTTGGTTTAAATTCATTATAATGTGCGATATTATTAGTTATTTTAAGATCTGAAAACTTTGAAGAGGCATGGAAATATAAGGGAACTGGAAACATTGGTGAAATATCCACTTGTGGGTATAAAACAGAATAGGTAAGTGATCCATGGTAAGTTGGATTATTTAAAATTTGGCCATCTTCTAATAATAATCTTGATGTTAATGTTAATGAAAAGGCCCCTTCGGTTGGTGATGTCATTGATGATACTGAATATCGAGATTTAAAACCTTGGTCGCAAATAGAAAATGTAAAATTGGTTGCAAAAACTGATACTGCTGTAATATATAATGTTGTGGGTTCATCAAAACTAAAAAATAAGAAATTATCAACTATATAAAAAAATATTAGTAAACATTTAAACTATTTTTTTAACCAAAAATTATAATTCTTACATTCTTCCTCTAATTGCCAATAACCATTTGTTTCATCTGGATATTTATTATTTGGGTCCTTTGAAATATAAAATGAAGTACTTTGGTAAATTGATGGTGCATTAAAGAAATACTGGCCTGCTCTCTCTACTTGGTAGCTATAATAGATTGGCACTGAATTATTACCCTCACCCATTATAACTTGATTGGTGGTAATACATTGATGGTCACTAGAAATTGGGGTACAGGCTGATGGTGCATCGCTTGGAATTTCATAATTTTGAAGTTCAATGGTAAAATTGAAAATTGAAGTAGTTGGATCAACTCTAATGAAATAAGTATCTCTAGTCCATGAAGTTGTGAAAGTGTAATGTTCCTCTGGTGACCAATTATCGGATGGGCATAAATTGAGTAATACATTTCTTTGTGGACTTAATGATGATGAATAACGAATATAGTACATTTCGTTGAGTGGCCCAATATACGATGGACCAAAGCCATCTACTGAATTGATTTTTAATGAAGTACCTTTACAACCAAATGAAGGAGCTTTAATTCTAAAAAAAGCTGTTTCTGTGATACTATAATTGTACTTTTTGTTGTACTCCAATACTGTCCAATCGCCTCCACAAGCATCGGATAGGTCCATTTTATCTCCATCATAATACTCGATCTTTTCAGGACATGGCTCACATGATGGATCACGTCCTATCGTTGGTGGACAATCGTTAACATTTGTATAATCGCATGAACAATCTATATTTTCATTTGCTGGTGGGGGACATTTGTAGTATGGACATGATAAAGTATCGTATCTATATAAATCTTCATCTAACTCCACATCCATTAAAGCATATGATAAATCCACACCCAATACATTTACTGACTTCTTTATTAAATTGGCTGATTTAATTTCGATCCCTAAATTTTTTTATTATGAAATACGTTAATTTAAATTTGGAAAAAATTTTGAAAATGAAAAAAAGTAAAAATTAAAAATAAAAAAATAAAAAAAATAAAAAATATAAAAAATATAAAAAATTAAAAATGTAAAAAAAATAAAGAAACGTATAATATAAGTTAATTATTACCTTTTACTAAAAATACAAATGTTAAATAAATTAAAATTAAAAAAATTTTAATATTATTTTTTATAAAAAACATTGTTTTGTGTTAAAATTTTTTGAAAATAATATAAAGGGTTAAACCCTATATTTGTATTTATATTATATTAAATTGGAATAAAAAAAAAAAGCTAGTTATAGACTCCTTTTTATTATAATTGAAATATCAAATATTTAAAATTTATCTATTGGAAAGACACAAATCAAACTATTCAAAATATAATGAATGAAATAATATTTATTTTAATTATTTATTTGAATTTGATTATTTGTTGATGTTTGTGATTATTTTGATTTTGGATTTGATGTTAGGTGACAATACGATAAAAAAAAAAAAAAAAAAAAAAAAAAAAAAAAAAAAAAAAGGTTCTGTTTTTTTTTTTAAAATACATTTTATTTTTTTATAATTTATAAAAAAAATAAAAAAATTATAAAACAAATTTGCACTGTTCAACACCCGCACAAATTCAAAAAATATAAATTTTTTCAAAATATTTTCGAAAATCTACGAATTGTACAAGTGTACTCCTCAAACCTTGGGCAAACAAATATAAGTATATGAGAAAAAAAAATAAAAATTAATTTACAACCAATAAAAAAAAAAAAAAATCTAAATCTAAAATCAAAAATCAAAAATCACAAATCAAGTATTTGTGGAAATAATATTCACTCTTTTTTTTTTTTTTCAAAAAAAAGGTTATTAATAGATATATTTTTTTTATAAATCATAATGATTTTTTTTTTTTACAATTAATGTAAAAATTACAATTTTAATGTGTGTTTGTGAATTTATGTGTGATAGTGTATTTATGTGTGTGAATGTGTGTGTGCTAAAATTATTTCCAAACAATGTTTTATTTTTTTTATTTTTATTTTTATTTTTATTTTTTTTTTATTTTATTTTTTTTAATTTAATTTATATTATTTTTTTCAAAATTTTTTTTTTTTCCTTTTTTACTATTTCCAGAAAATTCTCAATGAATTATTGTATTTAGAATGAAGGATTGTTTTCCATCTATCGGTTAATTTAAGTACAAATAGGAATGACGATGCACACACAAATATAATTATTATTTTTTTAATTTTTTTAATTTTTTTATTTTTTAAAATTTTTTTTTTAAATTTTTTTTTTTTTTTATAAATTTTTAAAATTTTTTTTTTTTATTTTATTTAATTTAATTTATATATTTCATACAATGAGATTTTTAGCTATTTTTGTTTGTTTATTATTAATCTGTGGTGTTTTCGCCGAAGAAGAAAAGAAAACCTCAGTTGTTCAAATTACTGCCGACAATGTTGACTCAATTAAAAGCGGTAATTGGTTAGTCGAATTGTAAGTTCAATAAATATTTACTTCCCAAATAAATAAATGAATTGAAATGTTCTAACTTTTTTATTTTTTTTTATTTATTTTTATTTTAGCTTTGCCCCATGGTGTGGTCACTGTAAAAGATTAGCTCCAGTTTATGAAGAATTAGGTGCCTACTATAACGACGAATTAAAAGGTGATAAAGTTAAAATCGCCCAAGTCGATTGTGTTGCCAACCAAGGTGTCTGCCAAAAATTCGAAATCAGAGGTTACCCAACCATCAAATAGTAATTACTTTTTTTTTAATACATACATAATAATCTAATAATTTTTAATTTCAAACTAACTCTTCATTTTTTTTTTAAATTATAGTTTCAAAGATGGTGAAGCCAAAGATTACAGAAGCCAAAGAGACAAAGCTAGTTTCATTGCTTACATTGATGAAATGACAAAGTAAACATTTTATTAATTATATAATAACTAGTAACTTTTTTTTAAAAAAAAAAAACATATTATATATATATCATTACAGTATAATAATAAAAAAAAAATAAATAAAAAAAACATAAAAAAAAAAAGACATAAATAAATATGTGTAATAATATTATTTTTAAACAACTTATCAAATAGAAAGTAGATATTTAGAAAGAGATAGAAAGAGAAGAGGGGGATTTTACATTGTATTTATTTTATTTTTTTATTTTTATTTTACCCTTTTTTTATTTTATTTTTTTTATTATATGTATTGATATTATAAATGTGTATTGTTTTAGTTACAAAGTGAATTAAGACATATATGTATATTAATACATCAAACCCTCTCTTTTTCTTTTTTTTATTTTTTTTTTTAAATTTTTTATTTTTTTAAAATTTTTTCCTTTTAAATAACACAGAAACCCAATCATCGAAGTAGAATCTCAAGAGCAATTAGAAAAATACCTTAGAGGAAATAAAGTATCATTCATTTTAGTTAAATCAGCTTCAGATGACTCAGCAGTAAGTGTATTTGTATATAAATGTTTCTCTTTATCCATAAAATTAATTTTTTTTTTTTTAGTATGAACAATTTAAAAAAGTTTCAAATCAAATTCAAGATGTTGGCTCACCAAATACTTTAGTTATTAGAGATAAAGGAGTTTTTGAAGAAGAAATTAAAAATAATCAATTGGTTTTAGATGACAAATCATCAACATTATTTGTTTATAAAGATAAAGAGTATACCAAATTCGATGCAACTCAAAATAAGCAAACATTAAATTCATGGGTTAGAGTTAATCAATTCCCATTAATTTCAGAATTAACCTTCTCAAACCAACAAATGTTAACATCTGCATTTGGTAAGATTGTTATGTTTGTTTATAAATTCAAACCATCAGCTGAACAAATTCAATACATGAAATCTTTTGCAAGTGAAAATGATGTTGGTGCAGCTCCAGGTGATTTTGGTTACACTTATATCGTAGAAGGTACTTTTGTTAATTGGATCTCACAATTCGGTTTGGAAAAATTCCCAGCAGTTTTAGTATTCCCAGAAAAGATGGATATTTATTATTATGAAGATACAGTTAACCCAATGGATAAATCATCATTAACCAAATTCTTAAGTGATGTTCACCAAAACAAATTATCATTAAAATATTTAAATAGATTAGGTTATATTGTAGACGTAAGTATTTCATTCACAACACAGATACTCTAGCATCAAATAATATTAATACTAATACATAATTATCATCTATTATATAGCAAATTGAATTATTTGTCATGGACTACTTATACTATATTATTGGTTTATCAATCCTTTTACCACTCATATTCTTTTATTTCTTTTGCAGAGGTGATGAAGAGTCAAAGAACAAGGATGAATAAACAATCATAGAAAATAAATTGTATTTAAAAAAAATTTAAAGTTTATTTTATTTATTTTATTTAAATATTATAGAGTTGTATATTTCTGTTTTATATTAATTTTGGGTGTATATGTAGGATGTGCATTAATTTTTTTATATATTGTAAAATTCGTATTATATATTTTATTTCTGTAATACAGCTGGTATGGAAAAGATAATAAAAGGAGAGGGAAGATAAGGCATACAAATGGCTTTAGGAAAATAGGTTGAGCGGTGGGTGGTTCTTCATTATCATCATAATCCCGAAAGTTGTCAATTGCCCCCAGAAGACTTTCTTCTTCATAGTTTTTATGAGTATTGATTATGAATAAACCATTGTTGATTATTTCTTTTTGAGTCTCTGTATAAACCAAGTTAAAGTCTATTGAAAATTCATAATCTTTATATTTATTTCTATTAGATATATCCGACAGGATTTGTTCTAAAGAATCTATTGATAATTCAGTATTGGGAACCCATTTTAATGAAAAGCTAACATTACATAGTATTGAGCTACTATTATTGAGTTTGATACTATTAAATAGTGGCAAACTATCATCTATCATATCATTAATTTCAACTACTACTGTTTCTGTGTTTGTTATAATTTTTTTTGATTTATTAGAATCTTTTGTTTTATAATGAAATGATGTGCTTTTGATTTCTAAAAGTGCATTTTTATGATTTATCAAAATACCTATATAATCTTTTATTGATATTTTATTACATTTATAAAGAGGAAGGAAAAACCAATAAAATTGTATATAAAAATTGGTAAAATATAATAAAATAAAAAATATTAAACCTATGCATATATAAAAATTCCACTTTGAACCTATATAAGAAATAGAATCCAATGATGAAATCTTTTTTAAATATTAATAAAAAAAACTATGAAAATATAAATAATTAATTATTTTTACCTTTGTTTGATTTAAATTATTCTCTTTTATAAAACCCAAAGAAAAAAAACCTAAAAAAAAAAATTGACCAAAATAAAGAAAAAAAGATAAAACATAAATATAACTTGTATTTTTTCCTTTTTTATTTGTAAAATAATCTTTTTCCAAATAATTATTTATTTTTTCAAAGTTTTTATATATATTTGAAATTCTAGAATCATAATCTTGTATTTTTATATTTCTTTTAAACATTATTTTATATTTTTGCTAAATAAAAAAAAAAAAAAAAAAAGCTTAAATAAAAATTTTTTAAAATAAAAATAATGGACCTTTAATGATTTTTCATAAGATATTAATCATTACGTAGATTTTTTTTATTTTTTTATATTTTTATTTTTAAAAAAAGATTTTTTAAGATTTTTTTATAGATTTTTTTAAAACCTAAATAAATGAACTGATATTGAAATAAAAAACTATTGTAAAAATTATTTGTAAATAAAAAGCTTAAAATGATGTCATAGTTTTGAGGTTGATTTAAATTGTTTTTTTTTTATTAATACACTTTTTATTAATTTTTATAACTCTGATGATAAATTTGCACTAAAGGTTGTAGTTGGATCAGATAAAGTTGATAGTTTAGTATCTGTGCTAACACCACTACCACTGTTTGTTGATGTTGTTTTGCTTGATAAACTAAGGTCGAGTGATAAGCTTGCTCTTTGATCATAGCAGTAGAGAATAGTTACAGATGGAATAACTTCGGTTAGAATCAAACCAATAAAACTAAAAACTACACTTGGTTCTTTAAGGCCAACAATTACTAAAATAAAAATACAATGGAGAATGAAACCAGCAGAGCAAATTGTTGTTAATAAAAATATTTTTTGTTGGTGTTTACTTGATTTGCTACTTGGGGTTTTAACTTTTTTCATTGCTAAATATAAACTACCACCCAAATATATAAATGCTGCACCTATAACTAAGGATATTAATGCTTGAATAACGGCATATAATATACTAACTGTTTTTTGTGAGTTTGAACTTTTTGGATCCTATCAAATTTTAAAAAAAAAAATTATTAGAAAAATAAACATACAAAAAATTGATTTATTATAATAAATTTTAATACTTACAATAATTACACGATTGCCACACGAGTTTGAATTTGATTCTTTGGTAAAATTGAAGACTAAAATTACAACAACTAATAATATATAAATAATTAAATTTATAATACCCAATAAAGAGAAAACTCTTTTTTGTAAATTTCTGCTACTATTAACCTTGAGTACAATGAAAATGATGGTATACCAAAGTACTACTACAATTGTATAGCAACTGAAATAAAAGAAGGTTGGTAAGATAACTAAAATATAATCTGCGACAGAGTTATCAGATAAAGACCCATTTGGAAGGAGGAAGAAATAGACCATACGAATTGTTACGAATGAAAAAATCATAAAGATTAAGAGATGAACTAATTCAAATCTTTGAACAATTCCTTTGATCCTAATGAGAACAACAATAACCAATTGATAAAAACCATAGATTGATACAGCTAAAAAGATGGCAGCTAATGCATATAATAAACCTTTAACATCTGATTTAAAGAAAGTTTTATTTTCTTCTTCCCATTTATCCATACGATTGGCGGGGAAAAGATTTATGTTGGGATCTTGGACTTTGATATCTGCGCACAATTGTTCTTTACCTGTTGAATTGCTAAAGTAAATTGATATATTTAATGGGAATAGTATACCTTTTTCTAAATTATATGAGGCAAAATCAAATATTGGATATTTTTTATGGTTTTGAACTTGATTGTCATCATAGTCAAAGCAAATGGTAAATTGTTGGACACCATGAATTTCTAACTTTATACCATCACCAATTAAAGTTCCGATAATTGTATCCTTGCTATTAAATATACCAAAGTTATCTGGTTTTGGATATGATACAAAGTTTGATGGGAAGTGTTGGTCTTGAGTATTTGTGAAAATATTTTTTGGGTACTGTGAAACAATAATATTACCACAACCCTCATTAACCGATTCGTTTGTAAATATGATATTACCGTAGTCAAATGAAAACAATTGTTTTGTACCAGAGCAGGGTTTAACTTGTCCTAAAAGTAAAGCAGTCTCTTTAAAGCACTCAGATCCCCCATCGCCTGAACAGCTGCATGATATTGAATCTAAATTATCTTTTACACGTTGTTGTCGGCAAAAGTATTCACAACGGACCATATCTGCCATTTGATTATTTACAGAATCTACTAATTCATCATAGATCTTTTGATAATCTAATGTTTTGGTTTGCTTGTTTATATAAACAAATTTTAAAGGGTCATACCATTGACCTTTTGTATGGACACCTTTGTACCAGAAACCTGGAGTCCATTTAAATTTATTTTCCCATTGATATTTAGATTTCCATGAATTTGAATTATCGGAACAACCACTACAAACGTGTTCATCCATTTCATTAAATATTTTATTATATGGTAGCATTTGAGTATTTTTAGTGACATATGTAGAGCAACCTTTTTCTTGTAAACATTTTGTTTTATTTGATAATGAGGGAGACCACCATTTATAATCTTCGCCAAGAGATTCACATTCTATTCTAGTTGAAACTTGTGGGTAATGGCTAAAGCATCCCATTGGAGAATCTTGTTCAGTATACCCATTTAAATTAAATTCGCATCTAACATTGGTACCAACTATTTGATGTTTTTTTACACATTTACCTAAACCTAAACCTTGGGTATAGCCTTGAGTATTTTCAGTTGTAAAATAAAATGAGTCAGAGCATTCACCAGCATTTAGACACTCCTCTTCTGTATTACAGAGTATACCAGAGATATAGCACATGCCCGATAGTTGACCAAGTGGACCAGTGCACTCATCAACATTTTTTGATTCGCACTCTACCCATATTTGATTTAATGAAGCGTCGCAGTTATTGCTTGTTGAAATATTTGTAAAACGGCAAAATTGTACTGTCGTGGTAGTATCCCAAACAGTATTAGTATTCATTAAACAATCTGTTTCTGTTAGAGAACTTGGGTCAATACAATATGGTTGTGTAGCTATAGATTTGCATTCATAGTCACAATAAACACTACATGAACCACTTGCTTCACATAGCTCTTTTGAATATCCATTATATGTGTATCCATAGAAGTATAGACAATAATCTTGAACACCACATGTGCTTTGATCGTAACCAAGAAAGTAGCAATAAGTTTCATTTGTTGGGCAATAACCACAAAAGCTTGGACTTGCATTACATGCATTATAGCAATCAGCTTCTTTTTGAGATCCAGCTATAGTGGAATTTGCATAACCATAGCAACTATAAAATGGACACATACCAAAGATTTCCCACAAGTTTGTTGTTGTATATAAAGCAGCAAAATCAAATAAGTTGTCATACTTGACATCGTGAACAAGTTCCATTGATTTATCCAAACCAAAAGTAGTTGGGTAAAATAATGTATTGAAATTTGGATCGGCGGTGGTGGATGACCAATATGCCATTAATTTTCTATTCATAAACAATTTATTTGTAATATCGTCTTTTAAATGACTATTGTAAATTTCATCGATAATGCTTTCATTGACATGGAATGGTTTGTGTAAAACTTTATAAATTGTGCTTTGATCTAATTGGCTAAATACACAATGAAGGTATCTTTTATCCATATATTCGAAATTTGGTAAACATCTACGGAGAAAAAGATCACAAACACCATCTGGTCCTGAAAAAGTTTTACATTCATCATCAGAGTTACAATATTGAACTTCTAATACAGATTTACATTGACGTAGTACTTGAATGGTGGTGCTCATCATGTCCTCTAAGGTATTTGGTGGAGTTAAACAATTATCCTGAACTTGAAGAGAGCCATAATACTGCTTTATTATTTGTTCGGTACATGATGGGTCTGAGCACTCTTCAGTAACTATATTACTCGAAACATCCACAAAACTGGTTACATTCTCTTGTCTGGATTCTGGTACACAGCATTGATAATATTGTAAGGTTTTTATGCAACATGGGCTTGAATAGTATTCATCAGTACCAACATCATAATGGCAACCACTTGAGGTAATATTTTTTAAAACGTACTCTATTTCCAAATAATCTAATGCTTTTGATGTACACCCAACATAGTTGTTACGAATAGTTAATGAATCTAATTTATATCTTAAACTATTTAATTGATCTAATTCTGTAACATTATATAAAACCTCTTCATAGCTGTCTAATTCATTCTTAATATCTTTAAATTGTGTATAGTTACATTCTAATTCTTTAAATTCAAATGTTGTTGAGTTTTTATTCGTTAAAACCTAATAATATAAAAAAGATATTAGTATTTATTAATAATACTATTAATAAATATAAAAACTTACATTATTATTTTCATCATATAAATTACTTAAAAATGATAACTTTGTGTATTTTATTGCTTCGAATGATGAATATTCAATGGGTGGGTCCAAACCTATTTTATATGAATACAAAAATGAAACCTGATAACTATTTTCATTGATTGGGTTTTCATTTGTATCGTCGATATAGTTTATAGATTGAAATGATGGAATATTGCTGCCATCTAACGTTTTGAAAATTGAGGGTACTGGATAGAGTGGATTTGGATCACTATAGCTAACCTGAGTTGAAAATGGATAACAAAGATAATAGACGTCGCATTGGAAAATAGCAGTTGGGAAACGTAAATTCGATGTACCAACCATGTAGTATGCAGAGGCTTTTGGTGGTAATGAGGATACCTTAACTTGTTTCTTATAACCCTCTGATGTAATTGAAAAAGAGAAACTACTTTGGTAAACAGAGTAAATTGAGATGTATATTATAGAAGGTTCTAAATATAGAGTTAGGTAATTTTCACTTTCTCTTAAAGAATTCCAATCTGTAAATAAGCCATTGAATTGTGGGTGTTGGTTTGTGCTGTCTGCTAATAAATAAATTGTTTGTGCCAAGTTTGGAGCTCTAATAGTGTAAGTGGCTGCTTTGGTTACATTAAAAGTGTAATATGTATACTTTGTTGCATCGCCAGTACCAGTAACAACCTCTCCTTCATTAATACATTTATGAGTTGGTAAAACTTGGTTACATGAGGCAGCAGATGATGATGATTGTAAGATGGGTACTGGTTTCGATGTTATTTCCAATGACAATGTTACATTATCAGTTACACCACCAAAAGGTACAATATTAATGAAATAGGTATCTCTAGTCCATGTATCTGGTATAGCAAAGCTTAATTCTTGGTCACTTGGGCACATTCTAGCAATACTGTATACCTCTGGCTGGTTGATGATAACTTGCTTTTGATTACCTTGTGTATAGCCAATAGACATTGAATAATAGCCATCGATGGGATAACTTGTTACCATTAAACCCTCACATATACTAGCATCGGCTTTATATCTAAGTTGGATAGGCTCGTTGATATTAAGTGTAATTGGTTTATCCTTAACCACCTTCATTACATTTTTAATTCCACCATTACATATACTTGAACCAAATCTATCTAGAATGGGACATGGTGGACATGATGGGTTACGTCCGGTAGTTTTGGGGCATTCATTTGAATTACTATAATCACAAGAACAGTCGATTGCTTCTATTGTACAGTTGAAGTTTGGGCAACCTAATTGATCGTATTTGTATAACGGTGAATCAAATTCTACATCTAAAATTGCATAATTAAATTGGACTCCAAGAACATTCGCTTTTTTATTTGTTAATGACGAGGATTTAATTTCCAAAGCTGCATTATAAAAAAATTAAAAAAAAATAATTAGGGTGTGGTAAAAAAAATAAATAAAAAAAAATAATGATCAAAAAAAAAAAAAAATTTTAAAAATTAACCTCTAATTTTAAAATATGTATTTACCATTTAAAGTTGAAATCAGATATACCGAAAATAACAAATAAATTATGAAATAATAATAAAAAAATTTATTATTATTAACCATATTTAAATATTTTATTATTTTTTGTTTTTTTTTTAAATTTTTTTTTTTTTTTTTTTTTTTTTTTTTTTTTTTTTTTTTTTTGGCTTTTAAATTATTTTATAAAAAAAAAAAAAATTTAAAAAAAAATGATTCTGAAAATTATCAATATTACGGTTAAAATATCTCGATTTCTATTTTTTTTTTTTTTTTTTTTTTTAAAATATTTTTGATCACATTTTTCTTATTTATTTACTTGAATAAAAAAAGAAGTAATTTATATTTTTTTATATTTTTTAAATTTTTTTTATATTAAATAATAGTAAGTTATATCATTAAAAAAAACATAATTTTAAAAAATAAAAAAAAAAAAAAAGTGATGGTGTTAAACACCAAAAACTCTTAAAACTATTTAAAAATGATAAAATTTTTTTTTTTTTTTCCAAATAATTTTTAAAAAATTTTTTTTAAATTGTTATCCATTTTTTTTTTTATTTTTTTTTTTTTAAATAAAATTATGTAATTATAATAATAATAATAATACTCATATATAATTCAAGATGAAAGATAAATTACTCTCAGTTTTAAACAAAGACAATCACAACCCTTAGCAGTGATTTTATTTGTTTACTTTTGAGTTAAAGAAAGTCTACTCCTGTTGGTTTCAATATAGCTAGTTCCGCCCTCGAATAGTGCACTATTGAACATGTAAGCTCTACTTGTTCAAATCTCAAAACAACTTTAGGGCCAAGCTTTGATCTTTCCTCAATTCTATAAATACAAAATTCGATTGATTTATATTGAATCTTGTGTTGCTGTTGTTTTTTGTCAATTTTATTTTTAATTTCTATATCTTCTATCCTCTAAACCGAAAAATTAAACATATTTGTGAATATTTAAAATTTCTTGGTTTAGATTATAGAAGATATATAGAAATTAAAAATAGAAAAAACCAACAACAATATCATTAACAAATAAATCAAATCAGTTGTTGATACTAATAAACTTGCCATATTTTTTCTATGGATACCTAAAGAAGAGATATGTTTGCTATTTTATTTTAAAATTTATAACCTAAACACTTTTAATCTTTTAAATAGGTATATTTACATATTTTTAATCAAACAGTTATTGTATAAATAAAAAAGATTGGGTAAATGTTGAGGGGAAACTCCCAGCGAAAAAAAAAACAGATGATTATTTTTAAAGCAATCCTTAGTAAAATACTTCCATTAAGTGCTAAAGGAAAGTCTGCATAACTCATAAAAATATGAAAACTAACCAAAAATAAAAACACAATAAATAAAAAAATAATGATGACTTAATGTATCACTAAAAAAAATAGATTTCAATTAAAATTAAATATTTATTTAAAAAAAATATTAAATTCTAAATTTTTCTTTTAATATTATGAGGAAACAAAATCAACAATTTCATTGACTGATTTTCTATGTAATTGTTCATATGTGATCTCTTTATTACAAGAACTTTCTACGATTTGGCATAGTTCTACTGTTGATACACTGTCAACTATAAAAAAAAAAAAAAAATTAATATTAAAATATTTATTAAAAAAAACTTTTAAAATTTAAAATACAAACATCCTAAATGTGCTAATAATTCATTTTCTAAAGCTTCATCACCATAAATTCCTTTTGATTGTAAGAAATCCATAATTTTTTCCTTTATTTGTTCTTTAGAAATACCCATTTCTTATTAAAAAATATTTTGTTTAAAATATATATATATATAAAAAATAAATGATTATTATATTTATATTAGAATAAATAAAAAAAATAAAAAAGAAAATTTATTATTTAAATATTAAAAATAAATCAGTTTTTTAATTCAAATATTATAACCCCTTTTTTAAATTCTTTCCCCCACAATTTTTTTTTTTAAACCAATCCATTTTTTAAAAAACAAATAGTTAAATTATTATAAATATTCCAATTATAACCTAACTGTTTGTTAATTATTATAATTATTAAATATATAAAAAATAAACAGTTTAAATAGTTAAAATACAAGAGGTTGTGATGGATACTCTATATCTTCAATTGTGATTCATATAATGATCGAAAGATATACTCAAATTATGGTATTACCAATGATTAATTTGGCAAATAGTTTAAATCTTTTCAAAATAAAACATAAATAAATTAAGTCTAGTTATTTTTAGTATGCACTCAGTTATTATAAAAATTAAAATTTAAATATTTATTTTTTTAAATTTATTTTTTATTTAATATCTTTTTTCAACTTTTACAACTGTGGGTGGAGCAATATATGATACACCAAATTTACCTACCTCATTTAATGGTGTTGGTGAGGTGTTTGTAAATTTATATTTTTTAAATAATGTTGCTAAACATGTGAATATTTCTGAATCTGCTAATGTGTTACCAGGACATGATCTACGACCGAGTGCAAAATGAATAAGGTTTTTATCTGTTGAGAATTCTTTTTCAAATCTTGATGGAATAAATCTATCTGGCTCTTCCCAAACATTTTTATTTCTGTGGGTTGCATAAATGTTTTGTATCACCTGAGTACCTTTTTTAATTGTATGACCACCTATTTCACAGTCTTGAGATGTGATATGTGGCAAACCTAATAATGCTGCAGGATATTTTCTAAAAGTCTCTTTAATAACATTTGTAAGATATGGTATTGATGATTTATATTCACTGTATGAGATACCTTCATCACTTGATTGATCTGATTCTGAAACTGAGTTTCTTATTTCGCTATAAAGTTCTTCTTGATATTTTTCATGATTGGTCAGTTCGATTATTGAAAATATAATAGTATTTGCACTGGTATCAATTCCTGCAGTCATTAAACCAATCATAGTTCCAATGAAATTGTTTTCGTTTATTTCACCTGCCTCAAAATCTTTTAAAAGTTTATCTAAAATAGTTGTGTTTTCATCTTCTTTTTCAAATGTATCATTAATCATCTTTCTCTTTTTGTAAATCTCAACTTGCTCTTTAATATGGTCTCCCAACTGGTCTGTGCAATATTTTACTTTATCTATTTGTTTTTTTGAAAGTGGGGCCAGCATCGGAATAAAGTCTGAAACTATTGGTAAAGCAGCTGATTCGAATACATTTTTTACAACACCAATTAAGCCGATACCATCTTCCAAATGGTTGTATGGAAAAGTAACACCAAATAAAAATCTGAGAATAACATTCATTGAAAACATCTTGATGTAATTATTAATCTTAAATGTTTCACCTGATTCTGCATGTTTATCTAATAAGCTACACAATCTTTTTGCTTCATCTTTGAGGTTAATTTCCATTTTCTTGAGTTTTGACATTGTTAATTCTGATATAACAATTTTCTTTAGATGAGTATGCATTTCTGTATTTGAGTTTATTAAATCTTCCCAATTCGATATAACTCTTCTACTAGGTCTTTGATATCTTTGCATAAATATTAATGAATTATCAACAAAAGCCTCTTTGATAGTTGGATACTCTGTTAGTACTACAGTTTCGACCGATCCCATTTTAATTTTATAAATTGGTCCATATTTATAATACCTATAATTAAAAATAAATAATTTTTACATTTTATTTTAATATTTTTTTTATCTACTATGTATACCATATACATACCACTCTTGAAACTTTAAATGAATATCCCCACCTTTTAAATCTAATAAATTACCAAAAATAAGTTTACCCTTGGGTCCTGGTATGGTACAAGATTCCTTTTTTGTTTCTATTTATAAAAAATGATTGTTAATAAATATGGGGGAAATATAAATAAATATAAGGAAAGAAGACATACTCACAATAAAAAAAATTATAGAAATAAATAAAATAATAAACAAATAATTCATTTATCTTTTAACAATATTTAAAAAAAAATAAAACTCCCACTTTTTAAAAAAATTAAAAAATTAAAAAAAAAAATAAATCAAAAAAAAATCTATTGTACTATTTAATATCTTTTTTATAAAAAAAAATATTCCATACTATTTATTTAAAATATTTAAAATCTTTTTTCAACTTTTACAACTGTGGGTGGAGCAATGTATGCAATACCAAATTTACCGACCTCATTTAATGGTGTTGTTGAGGTGTTGGTAAATTTATATTTTTTAAATAATGTTGCTAAACATGTGAATATTTCTGAATCTGCTAATGTGTTACCTGGACATGATCTACGACCGAGTGCAAAATGAATAAGGTTTTTATCTGTTGAGAATTCTTTTTCAAATCTTGATGGAATAAATCTATCTGGTTCCTCCCAAACATTTTTATTTCTGTGGGTTGCATAAATGTTTTGTATCACCTGAGTACCTTTTTTAATTGTATGACCACCTATTTCACAATCTTGAGATGTGATATGTGGTAAACCTAATAAACCTGTTGGATGCTTTCTAAATGTCTCTTTAATAACATTTGTAAGATATGGTATTGATGATTTATATTCACTGTATGAGACACCCTCATTACTTGCTAAATCAATATCAGACATTGATTCTTTAATTGACTCGTGAAGTTTCTCTTGCAAATCTTGGTTATTAGTCATTTCAATGATTGTGAAAACAATGGTATTTGAACTTGTGTCTATACCAGCACTTAGGATATCAATCATCGAACCAATAAAGCTCCTTTCGTTAATAACACCTTTTTCATAGTCTGCCAATAAATTGTCTAAAATAGTTGTATTTTCATCAGTATTTGAATCTGTTGGGGTTGTTCCATTGATTAACTTTCTCTTTTTATAAATTTCAACTTGCTCTTTAATATGTTCATACAAAAGATCCCATATAGCTTTGAACTTGTATCTTTGCTTTGAAACTACTGCAAACATTGGTATGAAATCTGAAACTATTGGTAAAGCAGCAGCTTCAAAATAAGAGTTGACAACACCAATTAAACCAATACTATCTTCTAAATGGTTGTATGGAAAAGTAACACCAAATAAAAATCTGAGAATAATATTCATTGAAAACATCTTGATGTAATTATTAATATGGATTGGCTCACCCGATTCTGCATGTTTATCTAATAAACTACACAATCTTTTTGCTTCATCTTTGAGGTTAATTTCCATTTTCTTGAGTTTTAACATTGTCAATTCTGATATCACCATAGTCTTTAAATGCTTTTGAATATCACCATTTGAATTTATTAAACTTTCCCAATTTGATGTTAATTTTCTACTATCTCTTAGATATCTTGGCATAAATATTAATGAATTATCAACAAAAGCCTCTTTGATAGTTGGATACTCTGTTAACACCACAGTTTCAACTGACCCCATTTTAATTTTATAAATTGGTCCATATTTATAATACCTATAATTAAAAATAAATATTAATAATAAGTAAATATTTATTTTAAAAAATAAAAAATATTATTTAAATAATTTTTGTGCCATATACATACCATTCTTGAAACTTTAAATGAAGCTCACCACCTTTTAAATCTAATAAATTACCAAAAATTGGTTTACCTTTAGGTCCTGGTATAGAACTAGATTTATTTTTTTGCTTCTATTATTTATAAAAAATAAATTAAAAAAATAAGATTAAAGATAATATTAATTAAATATTTATTTAAACTTACCCATAAAAAAAATAGAGATAAAACTAATATTGAAATTAAAATTAAGTAATTCATCTTTGTGTATAATATAATATAATACTAAACTATAACCCCAAAAAAGAAAATAATGTTTACTTTTTTTTTTTTTTTTTTACATTTTATTTATTATTTATTTCGAATATTTATTTTTATTTTTTTTAAATTATTTTTTTTAATTTAATTGTAATCTATTGAAATGATTTAATATAATTATTTATTTCTTAAAATGTATCAATATAACGCAATAGTGTGGGTAAAATAATACCCACCCCCATTAAAAAAATAAAAATAATAATTTATCAAGAATTTTTTACTGCCATAGTTTTGAAAAGAAAAAAAATTTATTAAAAAAAAAAAAGAAAAAAAGAAAAAGAGAAAAAAAACCCAAAAAAAATAAAATTTTTGTGCGCAATTATAATTTTAAAAATAAATTTTATTAATTTTTTGATTTTGGTTTGAGGATTTTATATTGTGGCTTTTATTGGATCTTGAAAAAATCTGAAAAGAAAAAAAGCACACAAGCACACACAGACTTTATGGTTGAAGCAGCAAAGTTGTTGGTCGTTTAAGCATCATGTTGTTTCATAGAGATAAGACTGAACAGCATAACATATTTTCAATTAAAATAAATAAATTGATTATTTATTTATTTACTAAAATTGAAAATGTTATCGATGGCTTCTTCTAAGTCTTCAATAGTACTGTTGATCATATTATATTCGCCTAATACTTGGGAAATATTAATGGTAACAAGCATAGTATCTTGATTGAATAATGATTCGATGTTATTAATTTCAAATGCCATTTTTTATTTATTTATTTATTTATATTTATAAAGATAGAAATTTTTAATTATATTTATATATTTATTTGTATTTGTTAATGTTTATATTTGTTTGTTTTTTTTTTTTTTGATTTGGTTTTGGATTGTTATTTATATTTTTTAGAAAAAAATTACGAAAGAAACAAAAAAAAAAAAATAAAATAAAAAAAAAAAATTATTAAAAGAAAGATAAAAAAGTTAAACTAAAAAGCCAATAATAGGTGTTTCCCAAAGATTTAAAACAGAAGTTTTTTTTTTTTTGGGTTATCAACCCTCTCTGTGTTATTTTTGAAAAACCGAAAATGTTTTTTTGGGCCAAAAAAAAAATAAAAAATAGATATTAAATTTTTTTAAAAAATTAAAAAAATATGAAGATAACACACAATTTTTTCACATAACACATAACCACACAATAATGTATTCAAGACACACAAATTTTTTTGTGAAATAATTATTTGCGATTATGTGTGTATTGGCATTCACATATATTTTTAAAATATACAAACACACATTTAGCACATTCACACACACACTTAGCACCATTTTCAAAATAATTTCTTTTAATTGTTAAAAAAAAGATAAACTTAGAATTTTTCACTCTCACTACTATTTTATTTATTTCTATTTTTTTTTTTTTTTGAACACACACACACACAACACACAATACAATTATAATAAACATAAAATAATAAATACAGGTTTATCAAAACTAACAATATTTCAATTAATTTTCAACAATAATTAAGTTGATTAAGTTTATAACATTCCAATTCTTTTAATTGTTTTTTTTATTATGTATATCTGTTGTGTGTTGTATTATTATTATTTTTTGTAAATTATTTTTTCTCAAAAAAAAAAGAATACATTCTTTATAAATAACGATAAACACATTGCATATTATTGTATGTTCATTTATTTTTAAATCATTATGGTGATTTCTTTTTTTTTTTATTTGCACAAAATCCATTTTTGTTGAATAAATAATAGCAATATTATTATTTATTTTTTATTTTTTATTTTTTAATTTTTAATTTTTTTTTTTTTAATTTTTTTTTTTTCATTTTTATTAGTTTTTTTGTGATGTGTGTAAAATGATCAAAATTAGAGAACAAGATTATGTCTTTTTTTAACTAATAGTTTAGTTTGTGGGGCAATTAATGCAATACTAAAATCGCCTTCATCATTAAGTGGTTGTGTTGGATTTGGATTAATAAAATTAAAATTTCTAATCAATGTAGCAATTGCAGATGTAACTTCACATTCAGCCAATGAATAGCCCAAACAGTTTCTAGGTCCAACTGCGAAATGATGTAGTGTACCAACATCCTTTTCAAGAAAACGTTCAGGTATAAATTCATCGGGCTGGTTCCAAAACTCTTCAGATCGGTGAGATGCATAAAGATTTTGAATGATTTGTGTACCTTTAGCAATTGTGTGGCCGCCAATAACAACATCTTCAGTAGTCATGTGTGGTAAACCCAATACACCAACTGGGTACTTTCTAAACGTCTCTTTTACAACCAACGAAAGATATGGAATTGTCAACTTATATTTACTATACGAATAATCTTCATTTGGTGGAATTGCAGCATTCAAAGTTTGGTATAGTTTCTCTTGGATTGACTGATCATTAGCCATTGCAATAAACGAAAACATCAAAGTTTGACCAACAGTATCAGCACCGGCAATAAGCACATCAACACAAATTGAAACTAAACCCATGTTAGTGATATTACCTTTTTCCAACTCTATTAATAGTTTGTCAATTATAGCACCATGTTCATCAGAGCCAGTACTGCTTCTTTTAGATTTATAGTTTCCAATTAGTTTTAATATGTTCTTTGCAAGCTTACGGAAGCATCTATAGAATTCTCTAGGTCTTTCAGGAAATGGATGTGGAAAAGCCAAATAATCAGATAGCACAGGTTCACTTAACAACTTGAAGAATCTCTGGATAACTTCAATTACCTCCACACTCGATTCATTTAAATCATCATATGGATAGTTTATACCAAATAAAAACCTTAGAATAATATTAATTGAAAATAAATTAAAATATTTATTCATTACAAACTCTTTACCTTCATTTGCACGCTTTTCTAATAGTTCGCATAACCTTTTTGACTCTTCATTTATATGCACCTCCATTTTCTTGATTTTAGTTGCTGTTAGTTCTGATAAAATAACCGACTTTAAATTTTTATGATAGTCACCATTAGAGAATATCAGTCCTTTAAATTTCTGTTGTGAATAAAGCTTTACTATAATATTATTTTCCCTTAAAAATCTAGGTTGAAATAATTCAGCATGGTCAATAAAAGCCTCTTTTAAAATTGGATACCCTGTTAAAACTACTCTTTCAATGGTTCCATATTTAACTCTAAAAACTGGACCATACTCTTTATAATATTGTTGGTATTTCAAATGTCTATTACCTCTTACAGCTAATATATTACCAAAGAATGGTAAACCTTTGGGACCTGGTATCTTAGAATTAATCCTTCTGATTCTATCATTCTAATATATTTTAAAAAGAAAATTATTATTTTATAAAAAAAAAAAATAAAAAAAAAAATAAAAAGTTACTTTTGAAAATATAAAATATATTGAAATAATTAATATTATTACTAAATAGTAATTCATTTGTGTATGTTGTTTTTGTTGTAACAATAAAAAAAATAAGTTTGATTTATTTATTACAATTTTTTTTTTTAAAATTATAACCCCCATGTAATTTTATTTTTTGTAATTTGAACCTTTCTTTGTTTTATTTTTAAAAAAATAGAACCCCCATGATTAAATTGTTGTTGTTATTATCATCATTATTAATTTATAGTCTTTTTTTAACAAAAAGGTTACCTTTATCTTTGAATGTTTGGGATGTTGGGTTTAACAACATTCTGTATTCATATGTATAATACAAATAACTGATTTTAATGTAATGAAATTTGAAATGGATTAGACTTTGAGAGTTGACACAGTAGAGAATTGAAAAATAAAAGGTTAAATAACCTTTTCAATTGCACCATTATTTATTCTCAAAACAAGTTGAATTATAATATTCATGAAATTTTAAATGTTTATCACCACCTACATTTGGTATTCCAAGAGATCTGGGATTTGAATATATATTTGAATTTTTTTTTAAAAAAATATATATTTTTTTAAAATTTTTTTTTTCGTTTTTTGATATTTTCAGAATTTTTTAGGAAATTTTTTTAATTTATTTAAAAGTTTTTTTTTTTTTTTAATTATTTTTTTTTACATTAACAATGGATGATGATTATGATGAGCTACTATCATCTCTAGTTAACTTTAACGTAAATGAAGAGTTAAAAAACAGTAGTGATATTGGTGAAAGGTACAATACAATAAATATAAATAATAGATTAATTAAAAGCTTATTAATTGGTTTTTTCTTTTTATAACCATTTATTATAGATTATTATATACAGTTTGGAGTAATATATTTTTAAGAAATCAAATTCATAATCATATTTTATTGTTTATTGAGCACAGTTATGCAGATCTTGATATATCTCGTTATTACCAGTTTAAAGATAAATCATATATAACAGCACTTGTGTGGTATGATGATCCACTACCAGAAAAGAATGAATTTCCACCATTTTTGACAAATTTTTATTTGTACTATTTTCCTAAAATGTTACCTCCAGCAACTTTACCAAATACAATTACTACACTCACATTCGGTGAAAAATTTAACCAAGTAGTTCCACCGGGCTCATTGCCAAATAGTCTCACAACACTCACATTCGGTTATTTGTTTAACCAAGTAGTTCCACCCGGCACATTACCCAATAGTCTCAAAACACTCACATTCGGTTATTTTTTTAACCAAGTAGTTCCACCTGGTTCATTGCCAGATAGTCTCACAACACTCACATTCGGTCATCTTTTTAACCAGGCAATTACACCGGGCACTTTACCAAATAGTCTCACAACCCTCACATTCGGTAATTGTTTTGATCAAGTAGTTCTACCCGGCACATTACCAAATAGTCTCACAACACTCACATTTGATTTTGGTTTTGACCAAGAATTTCCACCCGGCACATTACCAAATAGTCTCACAACACTCAAATTAGGTAATAGATTTAACCAAGTATTTCTACCCGGCTCATTACCAAATAGTCTCACAACACTCATATTCGGTGATTGTTTTGACCAAGTAATTCTACCCGACACATTACCAAATAGTCTCACAACACTCACATTTGGTCCTAATTTTAACCAAGTGGTTCCACCTGGCTTATTACCAAATAGTCTCACAACACTCACATTCGGTTTTCATTTTAACCAAGAAGTTCCACCCGGCACATTACCAAATTGTCTTACAACACTCACATTCGGTGATAATTTTAACCAAGTGGTTACACCCGGCTCGTTGCCAAATAGTCTCACAACACTCACATTTGGTGATTGTTTTGACCAAGTAGTTTCACCCGGCACATTACCAAATAGTCTCACAACACTCACATTCGGTATTATATTTAATCAAGTATTTACACCCGGCACATTACCAAATAGTCTCACAACACTCATATTCGGTTATGGTTTTAACCAAGAAGTTCCACCTGGCTTATTACCAAATAGTCTCACAACACTCTCATTCGGTAATGGTTTTAATCAAGTGGTTCTCCCCGGCTCATTACCAAATAGTCTCACAACACTCACACTCGGTGATGGTTTTGACGAAGTAGTTCTACCCGGCACATTACCAGATAGTCTCACAACACTCTCATTCGGTGATTGTTTTAACCAAGAAGTTCCACCCGGCTCATTACCAAATAACCTCACAACACTCACATTCGGTAATAGTTTTGACCAAGAATTTACACCCGACACATTACCAAATAGTCTCACAACACTCAAAATCGGTTATGGTTTTAACCAAAAATTTCCACCCGGCTTTTTACCAAATAGTCTCACAACACTCACATTGGGTCCTACATTTTAACACACAAAGTTATGGTTTTAACCAAGTATTTCCACCCGTTCATTCCAACAAGACCAATAATAAAACAAAAAAAAAAGCTATTAAATAAAAAAAATTTGATTAGATTATCAAGGTACACTTCATTTACCAAAAATAAATTTCAAATGAATGCCAACACAGCCATCAACGAACCTTTATTAAAAGATCCAATTGAATTTTTTTTATTTATGAAATCAAAATTAGAAAGCAAGATTATATCTTTTTTTTACTAATAGTTTAGTTTGTGGAGCTACCATAGATACACTAAAATCACCTTCATCATTAAGTGGTTGTGTTGGATTTGGATTAATAAAATTAAAATTTCTAATCAATGTAGCAATTGCAGATGTAACTTCACATTCAGCCAACGCACTACCCAAACAATTTCTAGGTCCAACTGCAAATTGATGTAGTGCAGTAACATCCTTTTCAAGAAAACGTTCAGGTATAAAGTCATCAGGTTGATTCCAAAACTCTTCAGATCGATGAGATGCATAAAGATTTTGAATGATTTGTGTACCTTTAGCAATTGTGTGGCCGCCAATAACAACATCTTCAGTAGTCATGTGTGGTAAACCCAATACACCAGCAGGATACTTTCTAAACGTCTCTTTTACAACCAACGAAAGATATGGAATTGTCAACTTATATTTACTATACGAATAATCTTCATTTGGTGGAATTGCAGCATTCAAAGTTTGGTATAGTTTCTCTTGGATTGATTGATTATTTATCATAGCAATAGTTGAAAACATCAAAGTTTGACCAACAGTATCAGCACCAGCAATCAACAGTTCAACACAAATCGCCAATAGACCTAGTTTAGAGATATTACCTTTTTCCAACTCTATCAATAATTTTTCAATAATTGGACCATGCTCTTCATCACCAGCACCATCTCTGTTTGTCTTATAGTTTTCGATCATTTCAGTAATATGCTTTGCAAGTTTACGATAGCATTTAAAAAATTCAGGTGGACGTTCTGGAAATGGATGTGGAACACCAAGATAGTCAGATAGCAAAGGAGCACTCGACAGCTTAAAGAATCTCTGGATAACTTCAATTACCTCCACACTCGATTCATTTAAATCATCATATGGAACATTAATACCAAATAAAAACCTTAAAATAATATTAATTGAAAATAAATTAAAATATTTATTCATTACAAACTCTTTACCTTCATTTGCACGCTTTTCTAATAGTTCGCATAACCTTTTTGACTCTTCATTTATATGCACCTCCATTTTCTTGATTTTAGTTGCTGTTAGTTCTGATAAAATAACCGACTTTAAATTTTTATGGTAGTCTCCATTAGCACTGATAATACCCGAAAAGTTATTTAAAGAGTACAAATTAGCCAAAAACATTTTCTTTTTAACAAACCTTGATTTAAAAATATCAGCATGATCAACAAAAGCCTCTTTTAAAATTGGATACCCTGTTAAAACTACTCTTTCAACTACACCTGCTTTAATTCTAAATACAGGCCCATGCTCTCTAAAGTACTGTTGGTATTTCAAATGTCTTTTACCTCTAACATTTAAAATATTACCAACAATTGGTAAACCTTTAGGACCTGGTATTTTAGAATTAATTTTACTGATTCTGTCATTTTCCTTTTAAAAAAATAAATTGTTATTAGAATGAAATATATATTTTATATTTATTAAAAAATATTACTTTAAAAAATATAAAATAAAATGATGTAAATAAAACAAATAATAAAAAAATATTCATTTGTGTTAATAATTTTATAATTTTTTTTTTTTTTTTTTAACCCCTAAGTTTTTTTTTTTAAAATGGCATTTTTTGAAACAACAACACAAAAATATTTTTTTTATTTTTATTTATTTTAATCACAAAACAAATGATCAAGATGATATATTTAATTTAAAAAAAAAAGGGGTAATATTTTTAGATTTAAAAATGATATTAATGAACAAGTAATATTTAATTGTTGAAATAATTTTTTTTATTTATTGTAAGACACCATCAAATAAAATTTATATGGAATTGTTTTTAAACATAAAATTTGGAAAATAAAAGTTTTTATTTTTTATGCTATATGAGCTGTAAGGAAAGAAGATCAAATAATTAAATTAAATATATATGAAATTGGAAATTGACCTTGCACAAACAAACACAAATTTTATCATATGATCTTGTGGTGGATAGAAAATTTATATCAACTCCAGATGATTTAGCAACAGTTATAGAATCCATTATACAACAGACTAATTTCTCGGTGGTTGTTTTTTTTTTTTTTTTTTTTTTTTTTTTAAAAGCAATGCTTTAATTTAATCAGTATTGTAATGTATTAACGCGCGTTATAACCTCCTTTGTTTGATTGAGGTTAAACAAGATCTTATAAAACGCTTACATACTGATGACTTAATGTTTCATTAAGAATCATCTTCACTTTTAAAAAAAAAAAAGTTTGATTGAGGTTAACAAGATCATATAAAACGCAAAACAACAAAGGTTATTTTTTTTTTTTTTTTTTATCGTGAAGATAATTAAAAGCAAATGTTTAAATGAATAATCATTTAATTACTTAAATTATTCAGTAAATTAAAGGAGGTTATAAAGCGCGGGAATGGCTTGAAAATCACCGAAAAGATAAGGTTCTTTTTAGATTTGGAGAAGAAGGGTATCGATCCCTTTACCTCTCGCATGCTAAGCGAGCGCTCTACCATCTGAGCTACATCCCCTTATATGGTTATATTGTAATGATACCTCATAAAGATAATGAAAGTTTTCAAATAATGATTCTCAAAATAGTAATAATAACTTTTATAATAATGATTCTTAAAATAGTAATAATAACTTTTAATATAATGATTCCTAAAATAGTAAATAATAACTTTTATAATAATATTACTTATAATAGTAATATTAAGTTTTATAATAATATCACTTAAAATAGTAATAGTTAGTTTTATAATAAATATCTCTAAAAATAGTAATAACTTTCCATTTATAATATATTTAGTTGAAATTATTACATGTTTAACATATATATACATTTATGTCAACTTGTTTATGACACTATAAATACTTCAGAAATAATTCTTTATTATTCATTCTTTTATAATCTATTAACTTCTAATAACAATAACAAATAATAATATAATAACTAAAATACTTAAATAAAGGTTTCTTAACTATATTTCTATTATAACTATATTTCTTATTTATACTTAGTGATAATTATATTTTATTATATAATTCCTGTAACTCTAGTGAAGCTCTAACTGTAACCGTCTCTCAGATAGGGGTTTCATCACAATTGGCGACAGCTGCTCAAAAAAGAAAGGGATAGAGAAATAAGTCTTAATAGGGTTCAACAACTACTCAAAAGAGAAAGGGATAGAGAATCAGGGTAAAAGCTAAGGGTTAAAAAACTGCATAAAAAAGGGTAAAAGCTAAGGGTTAAACTGCTGCAGAAAAAAGAAATAAAGCTACAGAAATTAAGTACTGCTCCAATAGGTTATCTTTAAAAGAATTGGAATAGGGGAAGGTATTATTTGTTATTAAGCATTTTTTTACCAGTATTATTAGATTTTATAGAAAAGAGAGATAGAATGGTTAAAGGTGGTCAAATAATTTTTACTGGATTATCAGATAGTATTTCATTCTCCGATTTAAATGTTGGTTTCGAATTAAAGTATCCCACGAGTGAATTAAGAACGAAAACAAATTTCATCAAATTGTTAGCCGGTCCAGCTTTAAATTATATTTTAAAACTCCCAAGAACAGACACTATAGATCAATGGATTGAAAAATTAGGAATGGTTTATGGTAAAATAGAGAAGGTTCCATTACAAGAGTTTTTTGATATCCGTAGTATTCAATTTAATAATCTGGAAGAATTAATCGCAGAATTCAATATGCGTTTAAGTATGGTAAATGGATTAGATGAGGGTACAATAGTTCAAACTTTTAGAGATGCATGTGGTCCCAAACTTGGTATAGAATTATGCAAACAAGGTGCAACAACAATAAATGAAACCTACAAACAAGCAAGAAATATAGAAAATGGTATTTTACGATTTGGTAAATCCTTGTACTTAAGACAATATGTTTCAAGAAATACAACTCCACAATATGATTATACGACCAGTGCAAGTACAGCTACAGTTCAGACAACCCCAACAAATAATAACTTATTAGCCACTCCAACACAAAAGAATATAATAAAGTTACCACAAACACCACAGACACCATTTATTCCAAAACCTGATTTTAATGTCAATAGTATTGAAGAAAACCAAAAGCAAGAACCTCAGTTTAAACAACATAATAATAAAAGGAACATAAAATGTTATAATTGTCAAAAATTAGGTCATTATAAAAATGAATGTAGATCAAAAAAGAAAGTTTATAATCAATTTAAACAGCAAGTTAACGCAATTACAGAAAGTGTTCCAATTAATGTTATTACTCAGGGAGTATCCTTAGAAGAAAAACAAGAAACAGCAATAGTTTCCCAAATAGTTACAAGATCAGATAGAAATGAAAAAAAGAATCTCCACACCGATTTATTTGTAAATACTAAATTAATAAGAGGAATGGTAGATACTGGTGCATACATTAGCACAATATGGAAGTCATTAGCTGAAAAGGCAAATTTGAAAATTGAAGGTCCAAATAAAGATAATGCGATTTCTGGTACAGGTCATTCTATTAAAATCTTGGGAATTTCAACAGCAACTGTTAAATTTGGTGAAGTAGAAAGAACAATAGAATTCAAGATTATTGAAGATAAAGCATTGACATCAGATTGTATTTATGGAATGAATTTAATTAATGCATTCAAGATGTGTATTGAACCTTGGAATGGTTTTATTTATAGTCACGGAAACAGGAATAATAGAACAAAATTATATGAATATAATACCGATTCAAATGTTAAGATTTCAAGAATTTCGAGCGAACAATTAGCAACAATTAAAGATGACCGTGTTAAAGAAATAGTCCAGAATTATGAAGATGTTTTCGAGTCTACATTATCTCAACCTGGTAGATTAAAAACTGAACATAAGATAGATTTAATTGATCCACAAAAAGTTACTAGTCAATCACCATATCCAACATCACCATTTCAAAAGGGAGTTATAGAAAGAACAATTAAAAGATGGTTAGATATTGGTGTTATTGAACCATCATTTAGTACACAGTTTGGTTCTCCATTATTATTGGTATCAAAAGTAAAAGGTGTTCCAATAGAACAGTTAGAAGATAAAGATATAAGAGTTTGTGGAAATTTTATCAAATTAAATGAGAATACAGTACCAAAGAAGTATCCACCACCATTGTTCAGTGATATTGTTTATAGATTAAAAGGAAAGAAGTTTTTCACAGTATTTGATGGTACCGAAGGATATTATCAGTTTCCAATGCGTGAAGAAGATAAAGATAAAACAACAATTGTGACTCACATAGGTAGATACAGGATGAAAGTCATGGCATTTGGTTTACATGGAGCCCCAGCTACGATGCAAGAAGAGATGGAAAAAATTTTAGGTGAGATCCATGCATTAAAAGAATATGCAGATATTTTCGTAGATGACTTAATAGTATATAGTGATACTCTTGAAGAACATATAGTCCATTTAAAGCAAATATTGGAAGAGTTAAAGAAAAGATCATATAAATTGAAATTCGAGAAATGTCAGTGGGCTCAAACATCAGTTAAATATCTCGGTTTTATTATTTCAAATAATGGGATAACTTATGATGGACAGAAATTTGTTAATTTAAAAGATACACCACCACCAAAATCTACTAAAGAAGTTCAAAGATTCTTAGGTACAATCAATTATTTTAGAGATTTCATTCCAGATTTCACAAGTTTAGTTCAAGAATTTTATCCTTTAATCCAAAAGGGAATTAATTTCAAGTGGACACCAGAATTAGAAACTCAAAGAATGAGAGTTTTAGATATATTATCAAAAAGTCATGTATTAGCACTACCAATGGATACAAATAATAATGTAATTGAATGCGATGCATCAGGAATAGGTTTAGCAGGTGTATTGTTACAAGAAAATAAGGTCGTAAAGTTTTATTCCAGAACTCTCAATAGTGCAGAAAGAAATTATTCAACAACTGAACGAGAAGCTTTAGCAATGGTTGAATGTCACAAAGCATTTTCATCATATATTAAGGGTAGAAAGGTAACCATTATAACTGATCATGCTCCACTGGTTCATCTTAGTACTGGCTCTTTTAGTCCTCGAGTCCAACGTATTACATTATATTTACAAGAACAAGATGTAGAAATAAGATATAGACCAGGCGAACAAAATATTTTGGCAGATACATTATCAAGACAGCCACACCCAAATCAAAAGAGTAATTTTGATGATGAAGTTCCATTTATTTGTTCCATTCAAAATGATGTAGAAAACAGTCCAGTTATTAATTTTACACCTTCAAATTTATTAGAGGCATTAAAAGATGATGAATTTCATTTGGCAATGTACAAATATATACAATATGATGAATTACCAAAGGATGCAGTTTTAGCACGTCATGTTTTGTTACATTCAGAATTTTATTTAATGATTGACAACATTTTATTTCGTGGTTATAAACATTTAAATTCAAGTAGCAAATCAAAGTTTCAGTCAGTTCAAGTAGTCATCCCACCAAACATGGTTAAAACAATTTTACAGGTATTCCATGATAATGCTTATTCCGGTGGTCATTTCGGGTTTGGTAAAACATATCAGAATATCAAGAATAAATTCTATTGGAAAGGTATGGCTCAGGATATTAAAGATTATATCGATCAGTGTCATTCATGTCTTCAAGTTAAAAGAAAGTATGGAAAGAAAGAAGGTTTGTTAATGCCAATAGATGTTCCACCCCATCCATTTCATACAGTTGGAATTGATTTTGTTGGTCCGATCCATGAACAAAATCAGCCAATTTTATATTTATTGGTAATAATTGATTACTTTTCAAAATGGACAGAGGTATTTTTCACACCTAGTATGGAAGCTCAAATAGTTGCAAGAATTTTGGTTCATGAAATTTTCATTAGATATGGAGCACCAGCAAAATTAGTTTCAGATAGAGGAACTCAATTTCTTTCAAAGGTTGTAACAGGGGTAAACGAGTTGTTCAGGGTTAAGTCAATATTAACAACAGCATATCATCCACAAGCCAATGGGCAAACAGAAAATTTTAATAATACTTTAGTACAGTCACTCAAGAAATTTGTTGATTCAGAGATAGTCGGTGATTGGAAGAATAGAATCAAATTTATCAATTTCGCATATCGTTGTAGTCCACACGTTTCAACTGGATTCACACCATTCTTTTTGTTATTTAATCGTCACCCAGTACTTCCTATTGATATCAGCTTAAAGGTTGATGCTTTCACTAATGATCTGATGATTGATCTAGCAGAAGATTATACTTCATCGATAAGAAATAATATCAAGAGAGCTGTATGGTTTACTAAGAACAATTTAGAAAAGGCTAAAGAAGATCAATCTAGATATTATAATCAAGATAGGGTAAAAACAAATATTAAAGCAGGTGATCAAGTATATGTACATTTTGAATATTCAGATAAAGAAATTGGTACAAAGAAATTTTATAAAGCTTGGAAAGGTCCATTTTTAGTTTTAGAAGAGGTCATTAAAGGTTTGGTTTTCAAGATTAAGTTCAAAGATGGAAGTAAAATTTATCCAAACATCAATGTCAATCGTTTAAAAAAATTCTGAAGGGGGGTTATGTAATGATACCTCATAAAGATAATGAAAGTTTTCAAATAATGATTCTCAAAATAGTAATAATAACTTTTATAATAATGATTCTTAAAATAGTAATAATAACTTTTAATATAATGATTCCTAAAATAGTAAATAATAACTTTTATAATAATATTACTTATAATAGTAATATTAAGTTTTATAATAATATCACTTAAAATAGTAATAGTTAGTTTTATAATAAATATCTCTAAAAATAGTAATAACTTTCCATTTATAATATATTTAGTTGAAATTATTACATGTTTAACATATATATACATTTATGTCAACTTGTTTATGACACTATAAATACTTCAGAAATAATTCTTTATTATTCATTCTTTTATAATCTATTAACTTCTAATAACAATAACAAATAATAATATAATAACTAAAATACTTAAATAAAGGTTTCTTAACTATATTTCTATTATAACTATATTTCTTATTTATACTTAGTGATAATTATATTTTATTATATAATTCCTGTAACTCTAGTGAAGCTCTAACTGTAACCGTCTCTCAGATAGGGGTTTCATCACAATATAGTTTTAATTGCCCCGTGGGATGATCCCTGTTTCAAGAAAATCAAGTACAACAAGTTTTTGAATTCAAAAACAGGTACAGTATTTCGCAAAAGTTTTGACCCCCTTTTTTAAAAATTTTTTTTTTTTGTTTATCTTCAATAATTTTAATTTCAATAATTCAAAAAAAATATAAAATAAATTTCAAAACATCTTAACTATATTTATTTATAAAAAAAAAATAAAATAAAATTTTTTTTTTTTAAAATTTTTTTTTTTTTTTTTTTACATATAAAAAAAATGGGTTCATTATTTTCAAAAAGATAATTAAAATTTTAATATATAATTTTATTTTTTAAAAGAAATTTTTTTTTTTATGATTTTTTTTTAATATTTTGTTAATCCACCTTAATTCTTATTTGTTTGTTGTATTTTTCTTGGGATTGATTGATAAAGATTATCAAATATATCTTGTTTAATATTTTTCAAAATTCTACCAATTAATAGATTGAAATTATGACGTGGATACCTGATAGAAATCAAGTTTATACGTCGTTTTACCATTGACCATATATTCTCCATAATATTAAGAACTGGTGCACAGAGTGGAACAAATATCACCCTAATGTTCATTTTTTCGTAAAAACAGGTCAATAATTGGGTCATATGAATAGAGCAATTCTCTTGTAAAAAAAACGTATCACCAGATAAAATTGATTTCTCTTGTAAAGTTCTTCTATAACTCTGTATTGTTATTTCTAAATATTTTTCAGGATTTGTGTTAAACCTGACAATACATATACGACCTGCACCATGAGCTGTGCCACAGAATCATGTATATATTGAGCTGCCGCTTCATCTTCATTTAGCCAAAATATTGCTTTGAAGGTTTCTTACACCATGAATCCATTTTTTAGGTTCCATTTAATTAGAAAATCCTTCAATTCTGGTTTCGTCAACAAATATTACCCTTTTCCCAATTATCAGCTGCCCAATTTTGGAACTATTTTGCCCACCTTAGCTTTGAGCTAAGATTTTTCGGAAGGAAAATGTTTACTTTTTAAACTTTTAAAAAAAACATTATTATGTTGTAAAGACCTACTAGTTGTACTAATTGAAACATTTTTTTGAAAGTTTTTTCGAATATGTCTTTTTGTATTACTTAAATTATAACATTTCCCATTTAAAATTTTTTTTCTGCAATGTCTTTCAATTCGGTCCTCCATTTTTCTTATTATGTCAGGTATTGGATTTTCTTCAATTGTACCTTTTTCTAGATTATTTTTTTAAAAATTCTCTTAACTGAGGACCTACTACACTCATTATATCTTTTACTTTTTGATGACTTTTTCCTTTTCTGTAAATTTTTAAAATCATTTTTATTAACTCTAAAAAAAGGGTCATTATTGTATTTTTTTTCTATTTTTTATGAATATTCTGTCTTATTTGTTTTTGAAAAAAATTTAAAATAAAAATAAAAAATTATTATAAAATTGAATTATCTTCTCAAAAATTTAGACCCCATTTTCTATGGGCGCTTTAAAAAAAAAATTAAAAAATTTTTTTAAAAAAATAAATTTTAAAATTTTATTTAACAAAAAAAAAATAATAAAACCGTATAAGTTTATTTATAAATATTTTTAAAATGGATTTATAGTCAAAAACCTAAGATATGATTAAAAATAAATTTTTTTCATATATTTTTTATATGGGGGTCAAAACTTTCGCGAAATACTGTACAACCAGTCCAAAAACATCTAGATAAGCCTGAAAAATTAGATCATAATCAAAAATAACACAAACAAAACACATTAGATGCATTTTTCCAAGAAAAACATAATGATGAACTACCAAATATTAAAGTAGACT